AACCGACGGGAGGGGGGCGGATGACCGCCCCCTGAGATCTCGAGAACGAAGTAAGATAGCGACAAGCGGTAAACGGCATGGGATACGCACGGACAAGGTCTACAATTTTTACAAAGGTCATTTTCAGGTGAGGTCAAAGACGACGTCACAGGGGTAAAAAAATTCAAAATGGCGGAGTAGATATGGAGAGTTTTTCTCGAATAACTTTCGAACTACTCAAAGTAGGAACAAACTAAGGGCATCATCGTAATCCTCTCGTCAATCCGCATCGAATGATATACAGGGTGATCCAAAAAATTTGGAACCCCTAAGTTAAAATGTCTATAAGCCCAAAAGTATTCATTTTATTGACAAATTGCAAACACCATTAGAAAGAGCATTAAATCCTCTATAAAATCATGTCAAGTTGGTGCATGTATCCTGTAAAGTATTGACACACTGTAAGGTTTCGGAATGAGCGTCAGAAAACTGAGTGAAACGAAATCGCCAATTGTTAACAATGCACTGAAATCCGTTAGCACTCCATCTGTTGTGTTTTTAGGAATAATACCACATCCACATTCAATTTTATTACATAAAAGTCTACGCAGAAGCACACAATAAAACAGATACACGCATCCTAGCTCCCGCTGTTCATCTCAGTATGTGCTCAAACCGAGCTCCGTGGGCCGTCACGCAGGCCTGCAGTCGCTTGCGGACGGCTTCAACTGCGCGGGCCAGCAGTCTCTGGGACAACTGGTCCCAGCAGGCCGTCAGCCTTTCCTTCAGCTCCTCTATGGTGCTGATCCTCTTGACCTCTGTACACCATTCGCTCCAGTTCGCTCCACACGAATAAGTTAAAAGGGCTGAGGACAGGACTCTTCGGTGGCCAGGCATCTGGCTCGATGAAGGCCGGGCAGGCCTGTTCCTGAAACTCGACCACTGAGTGGGCCGTGTGGCACGGAGCACCGAATGACATTTTTTTGCTCCTGCTGAAATTTAAATTCATTACAATAGCACGTGAATGAGCTATTTTTATTCATTAACCTCCGACATGCGACATAGTCAGAACAGCAAACCGCAAATCACTGATTTGCGGATAATGTTGAAAACCGTTTCACTGAGTTTTGTGACACAAATTGTATAGGCATATAACTAGGGTAATATTTATAGTAATAGTTAAGTTCAATTAACTTGGTTTTATAGAGAATTGAACGTTCTTTCTAATGATGATTGCAATTTGTCAATAAAGTGAAAACTTTCGGACTTACAGACATTTTAAGTTAGGGGTTCCAATTTTTTTTGGATCACCCTGTATATGTTGACCTTGAACGGTCAAGGTCAAAGGTTGACCTCAGGTCACGTGACCTCGTCGTCATCATATATCATTCGATGCGCCTTGACGAGCTGAGCACAATGAGACTATCTGCGCGGCTGTATCTTGTTCTTGTACGGAGTTATTGGCAAAAAACCTTTGGTGACTTTTGATGACGTCAGTCGTCACATGACCTTACAGCTGCCCAACAGCAAAACAGACCTCAAGGTAGTAAAGGTTGATCGTAAATGAAGTCATGTATGGTTTATGGGGCCATTCCGACCCGTTTTAGTGGTAAAAACAGGGAGTTGACTTTTCCCCTTTTTGACTTAGGTATACATAATGGGGAGGTCGAGAAATTTAGCCTGACCTTAGGTCATCGATAGGTATAAAGATTCCGAGATATAGGTACAAATTGTAGCTACTAATGACCTTATAACATCCTGCGATTTTCAAAGGCCTCCGACATCTACTGTAGCTCTGGCACGGTGACAAAGTTGCAAAAAAGTGATTTGAGGTTGGGTCATTCGAAGTGACCTGGTGATCTGACCTTGAAAGGTAGGAGGTTTAAACTTCCACACCATGTGTAAAATTGATAAGGGATAAGCCAATGGGGGTCAATGGGGAAATGGGGAAATGGGGAAAGTCAATGGGGAAAAATGGAAACTGCTATTCTCGCACCGGGAACGATCTCAAACTATCTCAACCACACGGAATCGTGATTTCTTGCACTCCTTGCAAGGACCAAAGCTTCACTTTTGCGCTGTTGACCTTGCGTGTCGTCATTTACGGCGTCACATGAGTCACAAGAGTTTTTCGTCAATAACTCCCGATCAAATTGAGATAGCGAGTCGGGAAAGCCACCAATGAACTCAGGAAGACCTGCCGAATCTAGTGATTTGCAATATGACCTCCTTTGACCAGCTTCGTGACCTGGGGGTGCTGACCTGACCTTGACCCGAGGTCAACACCTCAAGTGGACCGCACCCGAACAAAAAGTATACCCACCATTCGACGCGCCTTAGCGAGGCAAACACGATGGTGCTCAAATTGTGGCTCTGTTTTTTTTTTTTTTTTGGTGAGTTATTTATGAAAAAACTGAACCCGTACCTTGGGCAACTTGACCTGACCCCAGAGGTCACCGATTGGCCTGATACCTTAAAATCGGGTACCAGTCGCTGCGTCTCGTAACGGCGCACACACTCATTTTTCCACGACGCTCTATAGCTCCATCAGGGGTGAAACGGCGAGGGGGGTTGTACCAACCTCCTCCCTCCTCGGCCGGTGCCCTGTGTCGGTGTCCCCGGCGCGGCGCCCCGACCCGGGCGCCCGGTGACCGGAGGGACATCACAGCAACACAGGCACGTAGCTAGGATTTGGCCAAGGGAGGGGCGGAGGAATCCCGGGGGCCTCCTTTCTACAGAGGGCCTCCTCCCTAAAGGGGCCTCCTTTCTACAGAGGGTCTCATGCCTACATAATTACATATACAACATAATGCAGACTTTTGTTCAGCTTTCATATGGCCAGCGCACTGGTATGTTTCTTTATTCTTACCGCTGTCGCGGTAAGAAACATACGCATATCACAAGTCTCCCAGTGGCATGGTAACTGGCAAAAAAAAAAAAAACTCGGGCGCCGGCGGCGGCGGCGGCGGCGGCCGGACCGCAGCAGGAGGGGGGGGGGGGGGGAGGATCTGCGAGGAATGGATGGATACTGGATGACGGTCAGAGTACCTAACACTTGGTGTATTATCATATATCGTTCAAGCGCTTAACCGTATTCCGGGCGGGCTCTGAAAGACTCTGAATCGGGCGGAGGCCTTTTTGGCCCCCGTCAGAACTCGAAAAGCACGAATCGTAGCGACAAACGGCAACGGCGTTTGATAGTTCGTTGAACGACTTACAACTTTTGTAAACAACTTTTTTGGGTCAGGTCAATATTGAGGTCGCCAGAGGTCATAACAAATAACATGGTTTATAACGACCTACATAGATAGGTCAACTTCAAAATCTGACCTAGGAAGGTCACGCTGGGTACCAATCGGCGCGTCATGACCAGGCGAACGGTTTGGTACACTAACAACTATCTAGCCCCATCATGTCGTGATTTATTGGCTAAAAACTGTTGATGACCTCACCTCACCTCAGATGATCCTTCCCGGTGCCCCTGTCAGTAAATGCCACCTGGGTGCTTACAGATCAGATAATCTGACCTGACGTACCTAATTCAGAAAGAATTGGGTGGTTTTGACTCGTTTTCTCGAAGCAGGACACAGTTCATTATATTTTCCAATAGGCTTGTCACGATCCTGACCTGACTGACGTCTGCAAGATTGAAACTATACGGTTATCAATTTTTTATGTGTGAATGATGCCACGTTTACTTGCTGTAAGTAAAACATGGTTTCGTTAGTAAATTTTCCTATGGTCCAGGTGGTTTGCTTCATTTACGCCGTTGAGATGAAACAAACAATCGGTGGATAGGTATATATTAATTTCCCGGTCAAATAAATTATTATGAGTTGTGCGAAGCATGGCTATGGGAATATCACCACGGTCTGATAAATGGTTTGGGTAATTGCATCCATCGTAAAAATACCAACACAGCCACAGAGGGCTTCCTCTCTACAGATTGCCTCTTATCTACAGAGGGCCTCCTCTCTGCTGAGGGTGTCTTTCTCTCCAGAGGGCCTCCTTTACAGAGGGCATCCTCTCTACAGAGGGCCTCCTCTCTAGTCTCTACAGGGACCTCCTCTCTACAGAGGGCTTCCTATCTATGTAGGGCCTCCTCTCTTCAGAGTCTCGTCTCTACACAGGACCTCCTCTATACCGAGGACCTCATCTCTGCAAAGGGCCTCCTCTCTTCAGAGGGCCTTCACTCTACTGAGGGCCTCCTACCTACAGAGGACCTCCTTTCTACTGAGGGAGTCCTCCTCTACAGAGGGCCTCCTCTCTTCAGACGATCTCCTCTCTACAGAGGGCCTCCTCTCTACAGAGGGCCTCCTCTCTACAGAGGGCCTCCTTTTTACAGAGTGCCTCTATTTTACAGAGGGCCTCTTTTTTACAGAGGGCCTCCTTTTTGCAGAGGGCCTCCTCTCTACAGGGGGTCTCCTCTCTAAGGGGGCCTCCTCTCTACACAGGGCCTCCTACCCACAGAGGGCCTCCTCTCTACTGAGGAGTCAGAGGGGCCTTAGCGGTCAGACACAGACACTAGTGGTTATTCACAGGAGATGAGAAGGGCCCTAGCTGTCACTTGTCAGGCTGGTCAGAGGGCCCTGATTGTCCTGACGTCATTTTTTAGATTCCCGGGTCAATTTCGTTCGCCTCCGACGTGATTTTGGCCAACGTGGGCCTTCGGCCCACGTTGGATTCAGCCCGAAAGGATTCAGGCCAACGTGGGCCTTCGGCCCACGTTGGCCTGAATCCTTTCGGGGGACCTCCTGAAATCCCCTAGGGAGGGGTGGGCGCCCCCTCCGCCCCCCCCTTGGCTACGTCCCTGCAGCAACAATACTAACAGCCGTCTGCGGCATATACTAAGATAGCACTAGATGTTGGATTGTTTATTTAATGAGTATTTTGTGCATGAAACATATAATATTCAGTACTTACTTTGTTTCACTCATATAAATATACGAAGGACATACGAACATTCGAATATGCAATTGATTGCGCGTACTATTTTTTACTAGCCGCGTATTACTGCCGCCAGCATCTCTTTGGCGCAGCGCGTCGAAAATGAGTCAATTTATATTTGCGTGTGTTTGGCGTGTGTGCTCATTGGAAATTAGACGTCAACATTTATTATTTTTCATAAACATTGGCCACGCGCGTTTTTATATCTTGGTGGAGAACCGCCAGTGCAAGACATTATTACAGAATAAATGGGACTGATATTGATCATGATGTAATGTTCATTAGGAGCTGAACATAACAATAACGTTCAAGTCGAAGTCTCGGAGCCAGAGGAAGCATTAGGATCTAGGATAGGTAGGTACCTCAACCTGAGGCTCAGTGTTAATAAATAACATTAATTCACTCCCCATGACCTAGTGGATAGGGCGTCCGTTTCCTAACTCAGCAGCAAGTTGCAGCAAGTTCGCGGACGGGAAGCTCCACGTTGTTTGACCCGCATTCCTATTAAGCCAGCTCAGTAGGTGGAACTATGGTCATGAGTACCCAAATATAGGAACGTTCCCATTTTTGGGAGCGGAGTTCCCAAATATGGGAACGGGCGTTCCCATTTATGAGAACGGAAGGTAATTTTTCGGCCGTTCGCCCACTAAAACTCATTAGTGCATCACGTCTCAAAAAAGTGCACGCTAATTTAAGTATCTACTAAATCTCAATAAAATTATCTTTAATCTGACCGTTGAACAAGGAAATTGACCGTCGAATGATATTTTTAATGATTTTTTGAAATGACGGAATGGTGAAAACATGGGTTATGCTACATTTAACATGCAATTTAAAGGAAAATGAAGCGTTTTTTTTATATTTTGAGGTCAAGTATAATAATTTTCGCCTGGTTATGAAGTTTCATTCTAGCGACACTAGATGCTGACATATGCAAGCGAACACGCGGACAGTCCCGAGGTAATATTGTTGACTTTTGGTGTCGGGGCGCACGACCGCGTGGAACGTCAGTGATTTTACCGAACTACTGTTGTAAACTCAGTTTCAGTGGTTCAAAATTATTCAGCTGTATTTTATCAGCCCGGAAAGACATATTTTATTTGGATGCTAGCTGTTTAGCGTTGTTTTATAAGGAGCGTCATGAGCGTGGTTTTTGTCTTCCGTGTTTCTAAGCATGATCGTTTTGGGGGAATTTCTCTTATATAGGTCGCTCTGTGTGGCTTATTTATAATTTTTATGCTGATTTCGATCATTCCTCGTGCCCATCCTACCAGGCCTTTTGCCACTTACACTCATTAAGAAAGGAAAAAACTAGATTTTCCATGGGACTAGGTGTTTTGAGGGTGTAACATATTCAGCGTTCCCATTTTTGGATACTTCCTTGTGCTCGTCAACTATCGGTGATAAACAGACAGGTGCTTGACATGTCTCCACCCTCGGCGCGGACGGTGGATATAGGTATGGAAGACCTTGTTGAACATCGCTGAGCGTTGTGAATTACATAATCGTGCAGAGGGGGGCGTGCCCGCTGCGAGATCGACGGGAATAAAAGCGCAGAAGACCGGGCGAAACATGCGACGGTCCTGCCGGAAAGGTCATCTGATGATTGTTGTGTTAACAATAATTTGCGGCGTTGGACGTGATGATTGTTAATAAAAAGAGCCCCTGAAAGGCGTCGTTGAAATCGTTCCCAAATTTGGGTACGCCGTTCCCATAATAAGGAACGCTTGCAGCGCCAGTGAACGAGAGCGTTCCCAAATTTGGGTTCGCGGCCCGGATGATGGACTGCTTTAGAAATAGGGGAACGATTTGAAACTACGATGGGCCTTACAATATCGAACTCTTTCGCAACAATATTGAGACAAATATCAGGCGATTCACGATCGTTTTATATTTTTTGGACGTCATTTAACGGTTCTTTTTCTTGTTTGAAATAATTCCTACATGGCGTTCCCATATTTGGGTTTATCGTTCCCAAACATGGGAACGAAAATGCGTTCCCGAAAATGGGTACGCTTGACCATAGTTCCGCCTACTGAGCTGGCAACTGGCGAGAGAGGGCCACACTAGACCCGGGAGGACCATGCCGCCATCTACCTGAGGCACGTTAAAGTTTCAATCTAAATTAGCACCGGTGAACCGGGTGCGGGCGGGTGCACGTCAGAATAGCTAGTGACATTTGAGCTAGTGACTTTTGAACTAGTACAAAACAGCTAGTGCCTCAAAACAGCTAGTGACAAAACAGCTAGCGTCAAAATAGCTAGTGAAGCAAAAAAACTAGTGCTTAGAAACAGCTAGTGACAAAACAGCTAGCGTCAAAGTAGCTAGTGAAGCATAAAGAGCTAGTGCCTCAAGACAGCTAGTGACGAAATAGCTATCGTCAAAATAGCAATTTCGTTGGACCTCTGTTCCCTTCCCATTCACTTCGCTTCAAAATGCAAGATATCTATGACTGTAAATATGTATTTCCCGCGATATGCCATCTCTTTAATTCCCCGGTGCCCCGCTTCTAATTTGTTGTTTGTCCTAGGGATCCCGTCCTCTGCCCTCCTAGCATTCCAAATAATTTTGTCAAACTACGGTGCTCTTCTGCTCCTTCTACCCGTGGGGACTCTTCGTCGGGAAAGAATCTATAATAGCTGCTCTACGAATAAGCTATTTTGCTTAGGATTAGCTATTAGTCGACGCTAGCGATTTCTATAGCTACATGGGCGTAGGAACGGCTGGAACATTGTGGGTGCATGGGTGCAGCAATCCAGCCATGGCCGGTGAAGCCGGGGGGGAGGGGGTAGGGAGCGGCACCCGAGCGGAGGCTCCTTGTGAGCTTTGAGGGTGTACCATGTCGAAAAGGTACCTACCGATGATAAGTGTATTTAGAAGCGTTGATAATGTCAATATTGACTACCGCAAAAAGTACCTAAATGCGGCTAACTTAGCCATTTTCGAAGATAGGTATCGGGCTAAAACTTTTGACAGTGGGTCATCGGTATGTGTTCAATCACATGTGTTCCGTTGCTTCCTTTTTTACTTGAGCGCAAATGTAAGTTTTGAAGACCATCACAGTAGCAAACGCTTCTAAAGGTGGAAAGTGGGCAAACTATCCTGAATTTGTTGTGCTGCATGGGAATTAGTGTTGATGAGAAAAGGGGGTTTTGTTCCAGATTATTGTGGGTGCAGAATACATTGTCTGCACCCACTGGAGAATTATTGTGGGTGCAACTGCACCCACTGCACCCATGGTTCCTACGCTTATGACTAGCTATAATGAAGCACTAGCTATTTTGCTCTACTAGCTATATTGACGCTAGCTGTTTAGTCACTAGCTGATTTAATGCACTAGCTATTTTGCATTACTAGCTATTTTGGCGCTAGCTGTGTTGTCACTAGCTGTTTTGAAGCACTAGCTCTTTTGTACTAGCTCAAAAGTCACTAGCTCAATAGTCACTAGCTGTTTTGACGTGGACCCGTGCGGGCAAGGCGTGGTGGCGGGTCTGTGGTGTCATTCGTAACAAGCACAGCACTGCTTAGCGGGGCACCCGGGCTCATAGCCACCCATTCATCTATTCAGACGAAATTTAGGTATACATTAAAAATTTCTATAAAAAAATAATTAGGTAGCAATTAGTAAGACACAGTGCATTTGCATAAATGCTTGCCTAGCCTGCAATGCAAGCAATGCTCGTTATATCTACAAGTCAAAGTCCTGTCCTGTTGTCCTGTTTGCAAGTCCCCAAGAATGATAGACAAGTCCAACAGAATCCCATGCACATAGTACCTACTCTAAACTCAGCCAGCACACTTTTTTCTAAGCCGCCAGTCCCGCCACCCATTATCAGGTGACCAGGAGTGCCCCCTCCCTCTATCCCGCGACACACAGAACCTTACGTTAACACCAGAATAACTTAAAATTTCAATTCACGGCACTCCCAGCTAGGAAATGAAATGCAACATAAAAAGGCAGAAAGAGAGAGAGTCTAGGGTTAGTATGGTTATATAAGCAAAGTAGTCAACACTGCAAACAGTGGTGACTGCCCTCTACTGAAAGCCCCTCCTCATTCACTCGCTCACATTCGTAACATTCATACATAGAAACCAATAGGAGAAAAAGGCTTGGTCACTGGGGAAGGTTGGTTAAGGGTTCTTGCATTAATGGCAAAATCATCATCATATCATGGTCAAGTCATGCATGTGGGTCAGGTAGCCCAGACACTCGGAGCACCCCACTAAGCAAGGCTTGTTGTCGGGCTCTCCAAGTGCTCAGGCAGATAGGGTGACATGTCAGCTATGTTGAAAAAACATATTGGATCTGTATGGATCCAATATGTTTACTTTACAATCCATACTTTACTGTATGGATTGGATCTGTCAGTGTGCTGGGACACAATGTGTCCTGACAGGCAGGGACCAGCAAATAGGGAATCATGAATTGATATTTTATATTGTCTCCTATCAAGTGCTGATGCCTAGATTCAGTAGTAAATATTCTAAGGTTTGTTCAGTGCTGACTGCTGGATAGTGTGGATATCTAGGCTGGTTGGTGTGGAGTCTGTGAACTGGTGGAGCTCATGGTCTTGTTATGTCTTGTCATATTTATTCTGCAGTCTGGTTAGTGTTTATCAAATAATGAGCTCGTAACACCAAAGAAGCTTGAACCTGACTTGTTCTGGCTGACCCAGAAGACAAATATTTCCACTGAACTTGTGTGGTGAGCAATTAGTCATATGTCCCCTCGCTCCCAAACTGCTACATGATCTTTTGCTCTTGGTATTGAGTAAGAATATTTTGTTCTGCCCTTAACCCGTGCACCGACGGGGGTCTGCGCCAACTTACAACCGACGGGGGGAGGGGGGGGGGCGGATGACCGCCCCCCCCCCCCGAGCTCTCGAGAACGAAGCAAGATAGCGACAAGCGGTAAACGGCATGGGGTACGCACGGACAAGGTCTACAATTTTTACGAAGGTTATTTTCAGGTCAGGTCAAAGATGACCTCACAGGGGTAAAAAAGTCAAAATGGCGGCGTTAGAGCCTAGATATGGAGAGTTTTTCTCGAATAACGTTCGAATTGGCCAAGCTAGGAACAAACTAAGGGCATCATCGTGATCCTCTCGTCAATCCGCATCAAATCATATATACAGGGTGATCGAAAAAAGTGTCACCCCTAATTTAAAAGCCATATAACTCGCGATTGGTTGGTCGTGCGACTTTGCGCCAGGCAGCATAAGAAAGAGCATACAATTTCCTTTTGAATGGATGTAAATATGCATGGTTTATGCCACAAACGAAGATGTGGCTATTCAAAAAGTATGTTAAGGACGCAATTTGGCGTGTTCAAAAGTTTGGTTGTGCGAATTTGTACTTTTGACAGAGTTTTTGATCTGACAGCTCACGTGACAGCTCACGTGAGCATTTTTCTTAACTGTTCCATGGTTACCGCTGCATAAAATTGATAATCCGGTAGTGCAGGTTGTCGCAATGTTTCGCTAGTTACCGGCGAATTTGTGAATAATGAGGCCGCATGTTTGCAAGGAAGATCTGATAAAGTCTGCCTTGCCTAAGGTCAGCTGAGAAACAGTCTGCAGTGAACAACATACATACACTCCATGTGTAATGTGTAAGGTGTGTGTCATGTTGAGTTACGATACTCATTGTTCTCGTTCAGCGGTGTCCGTTCCCGTTCGGTGAATTTCGTTTCACGTAAAAGCCGCACATTGACTGGTTTTTGAGCCCATGGGGCGGTCAGCTTCCTCAGATGGGCAGTCCTTGGGCGGACTCTCTGTCTCAGGCTGCGGCAGTGGGGGCCGAAGTGAAGTAGCCGGTCCAGGGTGACTCCCAGCAGCTTCAGCTGATCGCCCGCAGTTACGGTTTCACCTGCCACCTTCACGGAGCAGTTAGCCGCATCGCGGGGCCACTGGGACAGGACTAGAGCCTGTGTCTTCTGGCCGCCACCGTCATCTTGTTGGCTTGGGCCCACTGCGCGAGGGTGTCCGCAGCCTGCTGCGCTCGTTGCCGGGCGACCTGAATGTCGTTACCGGCGCAGAGGGCGGCTGTGTCGTCCGCGTAGAGGAACGCCGTGGTGCCTGGGACTCTGCAGTTCCGCGGCGAGTGGGGCGGCCCACAACAAAAACAGGGCCGGGGACAGGACGCTGCCCTGAGGCAGGCCCGCCCTGAACACCCGCTCGCCGCTGGTGGCGCTCTGGTACTCCACCGTCGCTCGGCGGTCGCGCAGGAACTGCCACGTCCAGTTGTAGAGGCACCTGGGTACCCCCATCTCCATCAGGCTGACTCTCAGCAGGCAATGGTCCACGGTGTCATAGGCTCGCGCGAAGTCGAAGGCCAGGAGGACGTATTCTGTGCGGTGGTGCCGTCGGCCGCGCGCTTGCTGCGGGACTTGGGGAGGTTCCAGCCGTCCTGTACTTGTTGGACCAGGCGTCCGATGCTGTCCTCCACTGACCGTCCAGCGCGGAACCCCACTTGCTCGGCGGGGACCAGCCGGTCGCGTTCCACGATGTGGCGCAGCCGTCCCAGGACCAGCCTCTCGACGAGCTTGCTGAGGTGGCTCGTGAGGGCGATCGGGCGGTAGCTGCCAACATCCCGCGGTAGCTGCCAACACTGACATCGCTTGCACTGTCGAGCTGTTGTGTTTTGCTTTGGAGCAGAGTACTCAGTACTTACTGGGACTTTGTACCGGAATGGTCGCATTTTACCAGTTTTACCTGCCTGTCGTGTGTTTCTGAATCGTAACATTGGAAGACATTGTTATGCTGTGATACCTTGGAGAAATCAAGCATTTATTCTGCGTAGTTATTGGTTTCTGGTCGGGTTTTACTGGAAATAAAGAAAACATTCGGGCCTGACTCGTGCATTTGATACCGAAGGCCTTTAAAAGGTCATTTGAGGGGACCTGGTGACCTGACCTGGGGAGACTTGAGGCTACGATTTTTAGAAATCATGCTAAATGGATGTCAATTGATGTGTAGAACGTCGTTTCACTTGCCATTTTTCATTACGGACACGACTGTGTAGAAAGGAACGCATATATACTCTCAGGCGCATTGGACTGTATATGGGTTATATATGGGCGAAACAAAAATGGCTGGCGCCGCACGAATTTTGATTTTTCGAAACTTTTACCGCCAGGGCCTTTCATTTCTAGTCCATGCGCAAGTTTTTAGCACATTTTCCGTTTGTTTCGTTTCAAGTGACACACCCTAATGGGGACATGATTTGGAATAGAAAACAATCATGAATACATTCAGTTGAAAAAAATTGCCTGCTCTTTCCGATGCTGCCTGGCGCGAAGTCATCCGACCGACCAGTCGCGAGTTATGTAGATTTTAAGTTAGGGGTGACACTTTTTTCGATCACCCTGTATGTTGACCTCGAAAGGTCAAGGTCAAAGTTTGACCTCAGGTCACGTGACCTCGAGGTCATCATGTATATCATTCGATGCGCCTTGACGAGCTGAACACAATGAGACCATCCGCGCGGTTGTATCTAGTTCCTGTGAGGAGTTACAGTGGAATCCGCTTAATAAATCCACGGATAATAAATCCAGCCGCTTATTGTGGCCGCTTCAGCTGTTACCGGATTTTCTCCATAGATACCCATAGTTAATAAATCCGCTGAATAAATCCACGTACTCCGCTTAATAAAGCCACTTGGGAGTTTCGAATTCCGCAGTGACATCTCCCCATTCGAAATGTGGCATCCAGCCCGCTCAAAAAGAATCGCACTGGAGCAGCGGTCTGCAGCAGTTGGACTTCCCACGACAGAGGGAGGTCAGGGGTATCAAGAGTGTCATCACCATGCACCTCAGAGAAATGTTCCCGGCAAAGCAGGCGCCCTCAACTGTTTCGTTGGCATAGCAGGGCGCAGGCATGATGGGGAGTGATGTATGGTATATGGGGCCATTCCGACGCGTTTTAGTGGAAAAACAGGGAGTTGATTTTTCCCCCATTGACTTATAATGGGAGGTCGAGAAATTGACCTGACCTTAGGTCATCGATATCGAAATTCCGAGATATACAAATTGTAGCTACCAATGACCTAAGAACATCCTGCGACTTTCAAAGGCCTCCGTCATCTACTGTAGCTCTGACACTGTGGCAAAGTTGCAAAAAAGTGACTTGAGGTTGGGTCATCCAAGTGACCTGGTGACCTGACCTTAAAAGTTTGGAGGTTTAAACTTGCACACCATGTGTAAAATTGATGAGAGAATGGTCATGCCAAATTTCGTGGCGCTACGCGCCGCGGTTTTCCCGCTATTCACGAAAAACCTCGGGGGGGGGGGGGAGAGGATAACCGCCCCCCCCCGTCGGTGCGCGGGTTAACTTCTGCTGTACTGTTCTTTTCAGGTTGTGTATCTGTCTCTGGCATCATCCAGCCCAGTCATGTCGGACCATTCCGGCCCGCCGCCGCTGTCTGGGCCTCCGCCGCCGCTGCTGCGCTCCGAGCCGCCGCCGTCGGCATCGGGGCTGCCGTCGGTGCCACCACCACCGAGCCTGACATCCGTGCCGCCCCCGCCCAACATCAGCTCGGTACGTCTGTGCCGCCCCCGCCCAACATCAGCTCGGTACGTCCGTGCCCCCCCCCCCCCACCCAACATCAGCTCGGTACGTCCGTGCCCCCCCCCGCCCAACATCAGCTCGGTACGTCCGTGCCCCCCCCCCCCGCCCAACATCAGCTTGGTACGTCCGAGCCGCCCCCGCCCCGCCCAACATCAGCTTGGTACGTCCGAGCCGCCCCCGGCCAACATCAGCTCGGTACATCCGTGCCGCCCCCGCCCAACATCAGCTCGGTACGTCCGAGCCGCCCCCGGCCAACATCAGCTGGGTATGTCCATGCCGCCAACATCAGCTCGGTACGTCCGTGCCCCCCCCCCGCCCAACATCAGCTCGGTACGTCCGTGTCACCCCCGGCCAACATCAGCTGGGTATGTCCATGCCGCCAACATCAGCTCGGTATGCCGTCCCCACATACCACTGCATCGGTGTATCACGTGCGTGAACTTATCTCCGTCGCTCATGGCTGGGTCGTATTTTGTTTGTCACTTCCCTTACCTGTACGTTTTGGTTAGAAAGAATGCCTGCAAAATGACTTTTGTAATTGTTGTTGCTGTTGTCGTCTCCCTCCACTCCTAAGGCGTAGCCAGTCGGCCCTGGGGGGAGGCGAAGGCGGCACGGACTCTTGTAGTCGTCGTGCCCAAAAGCCCCAATAAATAAAGAAAGACTGGTTGTCCAGCCAGTCAGGTAGTTTGGCACCAGTATTCATAATGCGATTCTCCATGTGATTTCATTTGATGGGTAATTGCCCACCCCTGTGATTGTCTAAGTCATTGGTGTATTATTTATAACTATGCCAGACGCTACACCTCAGCCTGTGCTTGCATTCCACCCGTCTGTGTACGTCTTCTAACGCTCTGCCTGTGCGCCGGCAGCTGTCGTCTGAGCCGGCGTCCGACGCCAAACCGGCCGTTCAGCTGCCGGGCGTGCTGGAGCGCGCGCTCAACTACAAGCTGGAGCGGGCCAAGGAGGTGGGCGTGGAACTGAGCGAGCTGGAACGGATCGGTACGTCACCCGGGGGACAGTGAGCGAGTGCCATCAGAGGGCATTCTGAATGGGGTGGGGCTGCAGCCCGCAGAGCTTTGCAGGGGATCGTATGTGGACAGTGGATGAAGGGCATGGATGTATGGCTGGTAAATGATTTGATTTTAGGATTCATTGCACAAGTGGATTTGCTACCTTTGTCGTAGGTATCTCTATTATGAAGACGCATTTACATATTCAACTTTTGCTCTAATCAGCATTTGATGATAATGCTACAGTTCCGACATGAAGATATAGGCCCGACTGATTCTTCGCAAGAGACAGTCCGCTGCCTCTTTTCTATCTAAAGTCTGTACCTGTTGCTGATAAGTATAGTGCTGTTCCCAACCACTGACTGGCGGTGATCCTCCACAGAGGCGGAGGGCCTGGCCGCCATGCCGCAGGCACCGCCGCCGCCCAAAATCCGCGAGGATCCCGCACGAGCCAAGGAGCAGCGCGAGGAAAAGCAGAAGAAGCGCAAGGAGCTGCGCAAAAAGAAGAAAAAGAAGAAGAAGCGCCCCCGTGCCGTACAGCAGAACGGTACCAGCCAGAAGGCCGACACAGAAAGCGCAGACGATGTCGAGATAGAGTGAGTGTACACAATCTGCTTGGGTATGCGGCGTAATGTCTTCGATTCGCATTAAGTTTCCTAGACATGTATATTGCATAGCTGCTTAGCCGACATTTTTGTAAGGCTTACGGTGCTATTTATACAGTTCTGTATCTGCTCTCGTGCGTCCACTATCTCCCCGGTGGCGCTGGGTGTACACTGTGCGCCGCTACCGGTGCTGTGACGACGCTCGGTGTGCGCCAGGTACGTGGCGGACGCGCCAGAAATGGACCCGTCCGACCCGCTCTACCGCCAGTTCGCGCACATCTTCGAGACGTTCAAGATCAGCGAGCCACCGTCATCTGAGCAGGGCGGCGGCGACGGACACAACGCGTCTGCCGACGACCAGGCGCCCCAGCAGCCGCAGGATCTCAAAAAGGTGACCGACCGTCTGGGGACGGCGGTCGTCGGGATCAGAGACTTTGTAGGTGGGGTGGGCTGGAGAAGTCAATGTGGTCAATAGCTATTTTGTGCGGGGCTAGTCATGAAGTTCAGTAACTGTGAAAAGTTCCATCAACACGGCGAAGATCATGCATGTGTGTAATATTTTTATTTGGTATGCGTAGGTGGATGGGTGTGACTGAAAGATATTAACTTCTAATATTCAAACAGCTACAAACTGTATGAACAGCTGAAATAAAGAAATCTGAGCTTCACGCAACTGTATTGCTCCATCTATCCATCTCCCCAGTAGGGCAGCCGATAACCCCTTGTCCGTCTGTGATGTCCCCTGTATGACGGTAAACTTGTCCACTGACGGTGTCGGTGCCTCAGGTGCCCAAACTGCTGGACGGCGACGACGACAGCGACGACGAGGGTGACGACACCGACCAGCCCAAGATCTCCAAGCGCAAGATGAAGAAGCTGACGCGCATGACGATCGCGCAGCTGAAGCAGCAGGTGGCGCGGCCGGACGTGGTCGAGATGCACGACGTCACCTCCCGCGACCCGCTGCTGCTGGTGGCGCTCAAGAGCACGCGCAACACGGTGCCCGTGCCGCGCCACTGGTGCTTCAAACGCAAGGTAGGCCGGGTCGTTAGTGGGAGATATCACGATGTTTTAGCATTCCTAGCAGGTTTTTATGTAATCTTGTATCATTACCTAGTTCATGGTTCTCATTACAGGGCTTAATCTTACCTAACAGGGATTGCTCAGCTAGTTTTGCACAGTGTTTTAGTTCTGACAATGTTCACAGCTTAGTAGTTATCAGAATTATAACTTTCCATCTGTCCTCACCACAATAACTTTGAATGGCTGCCGCTACCAACAATCCATCCGCTCCCCACCCACAATCATTTGGTTTATGTTGCTGCCGACTCTAACAACCCATCCTTTCGGTACCACAGTACCTTCAGGGTAAACGAGGTATCGAGAAGCCGCCGTTCGACCTGCCCGAGTTCATCAAGAAGACCGGCATCATGGAGATGAGGCAGGCGCTGGCAGAGAAGGAGGAGGCCAAGAACATGAAGGCCAAGATGCGGGAGAAGGTGCGACCCAAGATGGGCAAGATCGATATCGACTACCAGAAACTGCACGACGCATTTTTCAAGTGAGAATTGCGTAATGCATATGTATGATATATCAGCGTAATAATTTGTTCGAATAATGCTATTCTTATAATGGTATGTGGTAGGGAGTTGCAATTTCCACATTGCCTGATGCTTTCTGAGGAGTGAATATAACCATCTGTCTTTAATTACCATGTTGGTCCTTGGGACCGACTTATTGACCCGGTTCTCGCCCTCAGGTGGCAAACCAAGCCGCGTATGACAATCCACGGCGACCTCTACTACGAGGGTAAGGAGTTCGAGACGCGACTCAAAGAGAAGAAGCCGGGCGACCTGTCGGACGACCTGCGCACCGCCCTGGGCATGCCTGTCGGCGCCAGCAGCAACAAGATCCCCCCGCCGTGGCTGATCGCCATGCAGAGGTCAGTGTGGCGAGCTGAGATCAGTTCGGGCTGACCGGTTGACTGACGGGTCACTGGTCAAGTGGGATGATACACGTACAAGGCGTAAGAAGAAATAGATGGTTTGTTCTGTCAAACCGACTTAGTGATCGCTGATCTTGCATTGGAGAATGGTTTACTTCTTGGCATTGATTTATCAATTTGATAAAATATGCAGAGATGGTTACCTAAATCATAAACATTATAAAGTTGCTGTGTTGTTAGTAATTGACTAATGGCTGAGTGTCGCACTGTTGTTGATGAGTCCGCTCATTCAATTTTGGTCTGAATCATACATCTAACCCCTGTTCGTCCGTCACCCCCCCCCCCCCCCGGCTGGCCTCCCGCTGACCCCCCCCCCTAACCACTCACCTTTCCGCCCCTGGCAGGTACGGCCCGCCGCCGAGCTACCCCAACCTGAAGATCCCCGGTCTGAACGCGCCCATACCGGAGGGCTGCAGTTTCGGCTACCACGCCGGCGGCTGGGGCAAGCCGCCGGTGGACGAGCACGGAAAGCCGCTCTACGGAGACGTGTTCGGCGTCCAGAGCAAGGACTTTGACGTGAGTCATGTTACCGGGGAGGGGGAGTAGGGGCTTGTAGGAGAGGAGATACAAGCACGAGCACGGCGTCGATAAGTCATGATTGCAGACAGCGGCAGTTTTGTGTTCGGTCGGAATGTAAATAAGGTTAGCGGCCGCCTAGTGTTTTTGTGTTATCTCTTTCCCCAGAACGCTATGTTATTTTATTCATTGGTAATGAGGCCTATTTTTGTTTTTTAGTTAAAAATTTACTTCGACTTCTTGTCGGCGTTTTTATCAGCGAAATGCTAAAAGAGTAGTCGGCTCAGTGACATGACTCCCCTTCGCCTCCGTCCCTCTTTCCCCGTATCCCGCCGTCCCTCCACCCCCGGCGGCGTCCTGACCCGCTCCCCCCTCGGCCGACAGAACGCCGCCGGCGACGAGGACGTGGAGCGGACTCTGTGGGGCGAGCTGGAGTCCGAGTCCGAAGAGTCAGAGTCGGAGGAGGAGTCAGAGGAGGAGGAGGGCGAGGGCGTGGAGGAGTCGGGCCTGGTCACCCCGGCCGAGGGACTCATCACGCCCTCGGGGGTGACCAGCATCCCCGCCGGCATGGAAACTCCGGAGATGATCGAGCTCAGGAAGCGCAAGGTCGAGACCGAAATGGAGGGGTGAGTACCGGCCGTCGCGGGTGACAGTGTCGTTTACTATATCGCTGAGTATCACCTTGAACTATGGGCGTGCCACTGAGAGCTGCCAGTGCAGAGCTGTGCACCGCAGTGCCACGCCCGAGTTTCCGGAGTGTGTCATTGCTCTGCACTGTGCACGTCCTTTGTCGACCTGCCTGTTAGATGAAGTTGCTGATTGTAGTACAGTCGGGCATTTGTAACACCATGGGGACCCGAGCAAGTTCCGGTGTGTGCAGGAAAATCTATATTTGCATGACATTTTCAGAGCTACGTTAAATAATGTCATGTTGTCAGTTTAGAACCGAATTGTGCTATTGACAGACTTTTTGTCGCAGCATTTGCTCGCGCACTGCACATGGCAGGGTATGTGTTCGATTTATCCACTCTCCACTGTGTTGCGCTTTGAGTCTTCTCACCTCGCCTCTCTCACGCCCTCTCTCGCTGTTCGGGCAGAGGCGAGACGCCGTCGCTGTACCAGGTGCTGCCTGAGCGGCGTAACGAGCGTGTCGGCGCTGCCATGATGGCCTCCACACACACCTACGATCTGCCCGGCAAGCGGCCGGCCGGCGCGGGCGGCGAGGGCGTCGAGGTGGCGCTGGACCCGTCCGAGCTGGACCTGGTGGATACAGACGCCATGGCGCAGCGCTACGAGGAGCGCATGCGGGAGACCCAGCTAGAGAAGGAGGACCTCAGTGATATGGTGGCTGAGCATGCGGCCAAACAAAAGGTAGGTGTGAGGCGGGAGGGGGATTGGAGGGATGGCCTGGTGGGTGTGTGGGGTGGATATGTTTATAGAAAGGTGCTTGCCGGCGTGTAAATTGAGAACAGTGGATCTTAAAACGAATGACTCGACAAGTGTCATGGTACTCAAAGCCAAAATGCTCAGCAATACGTGATCTACTCCGGGCGCATTTACCATTGCATCATTGAGCTCAAATTTACAGATAGTCTTAAGGTTTCCCGAGTGCCGTTGAAGTTCAATATTCCTCAATCTGTGGGCAAAAGTTGTTTATTTTAGATTGAACACATCACATGTCCAGCTGGCTGTTTTCGCAACAGAGGTTTAATTAGTCTCATATTGCCAATCAGCGCAGTATCGCTGGCCCAGACCCAACAAACCATGGCGTGGTACATAAACAGTAACTCGTATTCCAAGCTTTCAGTAATGCAATGCTTTGAATTGACAATCGCCAATGGCCTCCCTTTCTTCGGTTGTATTAATGACAGGCAGCATTACTTTAACAGCCCGTGATATTGCATACCGTCTTGTCAGTTTTGATTGACGATTGCAATAATCATCTGATATTGAAGTGTCACTGAACCATTGGAAATGCGCCGCTCCATAATGAAGCTAATGTATTTCCATGAAAATGGTTGACTCGAGTTGGGGGACGGAGAAGTGGGGGACTGAAGAGGCGGGTCCGCCTTCTTGAGCGGTAGGTGGCGAGGCGAGGACTCAGTGGGAAAACTATTGGAAGCTGGCGCCTGCTAATTAATTCATACTTTGTTTGAGGATGTCGATGGAACACTGCCCAGACATGTTTACGGCCATCATTTTGTTAGCGCTGAAAGTACTCATTAGTGATAATGGGTTGTTATGCTCGCGAAATTTATAAATTTCTTCCCTAACGTGGGTTTCCTGTTTCTCAGAACAAACGGAAGCGGCAGCAGGCGCAACAGGACGACAAAAAGTCCAAGAAGTACAAGGAGTTCAAGTTCTAAGGGACGTGAGTCGTTTGCTGGGGTTCATCGCAGAACACCGATGCCGGTAATATTCCGAGAACATGTATCATGTGCGCACTTTGAGAGGGAGTTTTTCATCCGAGCTGGTCACTGGGTCGCGCGCCTGCCGTTCGTCCAATACATGTAACGTCAGAGTTGGGTCTTTAAAGTCTTTAACACATATTCGGACACGGAGAAATGCCTCTTGCTTGCAGTCTGTCCTCCACGAATATCCCTGCCGTAATTCCTCAATAGCACATCTTACTTCCAGTTCAATATAACTATTGGTAGGTGTTGCATTTGGCTCCCCTAACCACATGGGCCACATTTATTCACGATGCACATTGGGATTTGCCTCAGCCATTTATTGTCACTTTAAGCAGCCAAGCCTCCTGAAAAGTTTGCCCATGAAACGTGTGATGTGAATACTTTTACGTTGGAAATTGTTGCAGTTTTGCCGTCATCGAAATCCCCTCGAGGAAGCATATTTCGCTCTCCGAAACCTTCCCTCTCATTCCCAGGGAATATGTTCTTGGGCTGTTTATCAAACTTAAAGCTTCATATGTTGTTACTTGTTACGCATAACGCTGAAGGCTGTTGCTATTTTTTTTTTTAAATGATAATTGGTGTGAAGAAAGCAAAAACGAAACAAAAACAAAACGATAAAAGTGTTCCAATACTTGGAACAATATTACGTGCCAGATTGAGCCTTGCTTACATCATAAACTGACGTAGTGTCGCATTTTTATTCTTATCGACACGTAATGGCCGCAAGGTGTGACACTGGAGTTGCCTAACAATTCTACTAAGCTCGAACGTCGTGCCGATCATATCGACCAATCTCGTTTGCCGTATTTCCTGTTGCAGTTTGTTCCTGGGACGCGTTCCTTACCGTCGGAGTGTCTCACAAGTCGAGTTCGTATCACACGTGTATTGGAGTCTGCTTCGTTCCCATGGCGCACACTCAGCAGGACAAGCACTAGCCGGCCACGGCGGCTGTCGATCTCTACATCTGTGCTCAAACAAACAACAAACAGACTGTATGTACGCGGGCTGGTAGCCAGAGAGATCCCGTAGGGAGCTCGACCCTCGCTGCGCCTCCCTCAGTGCGACGCCGGTGGTCCTCTAAGGCCTCCAAGTGCTGAGTAGTGCCAGCATGCCGCACGATAGCACCCCACTCAGCTAAAACTCTTTTGCGTACTTGACGCGACTCGACGACTTAGCTCGGCGCACAGACGAGCTAGACCGCTACCGTTCAAGTCCAAGGACGGCTCCCGGTCGCCCGGACCAAAGTCCGTCCATCAAGCGTCGTGCTCTCTGAACAGTGGACATGGCAGCGGTGCATGCGTGGCTGTCTCGATGGAGCGGCTGGGACGAACCGCCGTGACATCTGATAGTAGGGCGGCGGACATTGGCGTTCGTCGTGACCATATGTGTTGGGAGTCACTTGGGACCTCCCGTTAAGGCGGCGCACCGCTCGTGTGTTACACCGGTACAATGCATACGACACTCGCTACACGCTCGTTCGGTCCGTTACATGTCGGCGAGAGACTCAAATGTCAGTCAGAATGCATTACTCAAATGTCAGTATAATGCATTCACCCCTCTCGGCATCCTGATGCAGCGTGGTAGCAGCTGCGCTGTGCGAAGTTATAAAATTAGCCTCTCATTGGGGCTAAGAACAAGCTAGAAGATTATTCAACACAACTGAACAATCTAAGACAATCCCTCGGCTTTGGTGAAAAGTGAAAACACTCGTACATACACTGCATGAAAAAGTAGAGTCCAGTGCAATACACTGCAACAAACGCTAGGCCATCGAAACCAGCCAGCCGGCTTTCTGAATTATCATTCAGAAAGTTGCATAAGCAGAGTCAGTTGGGTATTGCACCTGTGACTCCTCACACACACTATTTGTCTTTGCTCACGGGTTTCGTGGCATCACTGCGCATCTGCAAGTTTCTGCCATTGGCAGTGGCCACGCTCGTTTCACTCGTTGAAAATCTGCAGCCTCTGTTAGGCTTGTCTCTGCCGTATCTCGGCAAGGTTTGTCCTGTCCGGTACCTGTTCGTGTCCGCCGTCCGGTACTCCACTGAGCACTGTTCGGTTCGGTACCTATTACTGCTCTGTACGCCATTAGGGCTGACTTGATCACTGCGTTATCCTGCCTGCGCCCGAGGTCAGGGCTGCGTCCACCGTGGACAGGCGGGCACGGAGGCCGTGTAACCGACCACTGCGAGCAGCAGCAGCAGTAACGCGGTGGAGGGGTGCGCCGCACCGACACCGCTGCCCACTGGAATAGAAAGGCGGTGTCAGTCAGATGAAGTAGAAAACATGAACAATAGCCTCCATAGCATCCACTTTTATCGTTAATAACCCACATTTCCTTTTCTTTTATAATCTTTAGGTGTATTAGAATACGACCGAACATAAAACGCTCGATTTGAATCCAGCAAAATTGTGAGTTTTCTCACAGGACTATTGATCATCGTGTGTCAAACTATTGACAAGCTAGCTTGTCGCTGTTTTCTCCACCTCACCGCTGTTTCTGAGGTAGCTTTTACCCGACTACCGGCTATCTTATCGAATCAATGCAGCTAGTGACCGCCTAACGGTCGGGCAGCCGATCGCTCTCTGTCACCTTGTTTATAGTCACGCCCAGGCTACCCCGGTCAGGGACAGGAGCTGGCTGCCGATGGGGTACAGCGCCGCCCGGACTATCTCAGCCAGAGGCGGCGATATGTGGATACGAAAAGTCAGTGAGGATGGGGATGGGCAGTGCGACCGGAAACAGAAAGCCAATGCAATGATGGTTGGCGGGTTTCACATAGGCCAGCTGTTTATGGAACTGTGATTCCGGCACACTATTTGTGAACTGACCCCCAGACTTCCTACTCCTAACGTGGACCGGGTCTCGTCTGACAAGTTCAATCAATCCCAAATTCGCCCGGCTAGCCTGCCACTGCTGTCACCTCCTCTGCTCCGTACCCAGTATGGAGGTCGTGTTTGTGTAGAGCGTCTCCGTCGTGCGGCCGTCGCCGCCGAGGGGTCGCTGCCGAGACTCGTATTCGGAGATGTTCCTGGAGACGATCGACGTGCAGGAGACTTTGACCGGCCCGCTGCTGTGAATGGAACACGCCGGTCAGAGACCACGCTCCCCACTCCGCCACCCCTCCCCTGGACGAACCTCCGCACCCCTCCCCCTAATTGAGACGATACGAACACCGCATTCTCCCCCTGACTGAATTGAGCCGCCCTACGCGTCCCCTCCCCGTGACTGATGGAGCCGCCCACTGCGCCCTCATCCCCCTTTCTGAGACAAGCTGCCCCGTGCCCCCAAGGAGACCGATCCGCTCAGCTCAACAACATTGCCGCCAGGGAACCACCCAACTCGAGTAATATGAGGCTGCGACAGTGCATTGTTATACGAGACGCTTATTAGCGCACTATCAACCCGAGCGGTCTGACAGATAATCCGCCGGTTTAGGGTGACTGCCGACTGTTTCGAAGAGGGGGTTACCTCAGCAGCGTGGGCCGCAGGTGCAGGCGGAGGCCCAGAGTGGCAGTCTGCAGACCTTCATCGTCCTCTTCCAGGGGATACGGGGTCAGCAGGTCACCAGTTATCTGTTGGAGGGTATAGGGTCAGGTCACCAGTTGGTAGGGAATTAGTTCATTAGAGATCTGTCGGTGCGGGGTCATAAGGTCACTCGTGATCTGCCGAAATATACTGTCGGGTGCTCAGTGCCCACGTGTCATCGCCTGTACAGACGGGCTATAAAATAGACACAGTGTGCGTTACAGATCGGCTCAAATATAGCATGTGATACATACAGACCGCTTCACACGGCGCGCATAAAGCTCATCGTTTGGCGGTTGCGGTGCCTTCCATACCACCCATCCCTACGGCTGTCGCGCACCGCGCGGCCCTCCGTCTCGACGGCTCTATTAGTCCCTTACCAGCCGGCCGTGGACGGCCCAGTGGAGCCGCGCCGCTGGGTACGACTTGGCCGACGTACAGTTGAGCTGCAGCGTGTCCCCGGGCGCCCAGTGGTCCTCCTCGAACCCCGAGATGACCGGGTCTGACTCGGGTGGCGCTGGGGATTGGAAGGGGCTGGGTCAGCACTCAGCAGCCTACTTGACCCTCGTGTTGTCAGCGGAGAACAGCGGGGTCGCATATCCGGCAGCGCTGCGATTACTACATTATTGCTTTGCAATGCTACTCCACGGATGCTATTGCTGTCACTGGTCTCCCAGTAGTCTGGTACGCTCGCTCCCCTTATAACTGCGCCGCTCAGACCGGCTGTCGACATGAGTCTTGTGCTCAACACCGGCACGTGCCCCCCCCCCGCCCCTCTCTCTCTCTCTCTCTCTCTCTCTCTCTCTCTCTCTCTCTCTCTCTCTCTCTCTCTCTCTCTCTCTCTCTCTCTCTCACCTGCGACCAGCATGTCGGTCGTCTCGGTGACCGAGGCGAAGACAGGCGCCTCTGTGTTGACCTTACAGCGGTACTGACCGCTGCTGAAAACCGACAGTGAGGTGAGCGTCACCCGCACATCGTCCGACTCCTTCACCTGGGGACAGAGGTCACAGGGGTCAGACTAGGTCAGACTCCTTCACCTGGGGGCAGAGGTCAGAGTTCAGACTCCTTCACCTGGGGACAGAGGTCACAGAGGTCAGACTCCTTCACTAGGGGACAGAGGTCACAGAGGTCAGACTCCTTCACCTGGGGACAGAGGTCACAGGGGTCAGACTTCTTCACCTGGGGAGGGGGACAGAGGTCAGACTCCTTCACCCTTGGAGGAGGGCGGAGGTCAGATGTCAGACTCCTTCAGCTGGGGAGGAGGGCAAAGGTCAGACTCGGTCAGACTCCTCATGAGTCACAGCTCAGACTTCTTCACACGGGCAGATGTCAGACTCCTTAGCCTTTGAGTACGTGGATCAGAGGTCAGACTCCCCTTAGCAGTACGGCTACAAGGCATGAATATTGAAGCATTGATCAATGCACTTTTTACCCTCGTGCGTCATTTAAGGGGCACACCAATCTAAAACTCACTCCCCTCGGCTCGGCGTGCCGGCCGTATCCGGTCCACAACAAAAGCCGCCGCCTCCCTCGCCAGTGACCGTTACACCGCCCGGGTAATGCCGCCACCCGGGCCTCATGACACAAGACGCATGCACGGCGCTCATGCACACCTCGCGACTGTGCACAGGCCTCCCCTCGCTGTTGCATGAACAGCTGCCATAACGGAACCCTCAGAAAACCCTACACGAAGTGGGCATCTATCTCAGTGACACAGGAATCAATGCCGTGCGCTGGAGTGGGACAGACGGCGGGTCATCGGGGCCGAGGCGCGCTGCGCGAGCCGGCCATAAACCTGTCTGAGGGCAGGCGCGCGGGCGCCGACACCGGAACCGGCCAACTAATGAATCAGCCACTCGGGGTGCCGGTAATGGCCCGGCTGGTGACACCGGCGCGTGCCGAGAGGCCATGCGCACCCCCTGCCCGGTCACTGCACTGGGGCGGCTACCGAGCGCCCATGGAGCGTCCACAGACTACGAGCAAGCCCTCGATGTGACCGCGATCGGTCGGGAAGTTCCCATGGCTAGCTGTGGGATGTTTACGAGGGATCTGCTTACATGTGCGGTCAACCATGCGATGAGCCTGACCTGGTTGCCACACGAGGTGCTGGCCTGGGGGGGGGGGGGGGGACGATGGATGGCACTGATGGAGGTGTCAATACTCGTAGAGGTGGATTACATAACATGATCCGCTGGGTCTTACCCCTTTCCCTTGGGTCGCTGGCATTAGGACTGGTTACTCATGTTCACACTATTCCGGGCCTTTTAAGGGAAGTGCTCTGGGCTGGTTACTCACGTTCACACTGGTGCGGGCCACTCAAGGAAGTGCTGTTGGGTGGGCTGGTTAGGTACTCACGTTCACATTGATGCCGGCCACTCCTGGGAAGGTAGTCTTGGGCTTGCGCGCGGTGGGCAGAAAGCGATAGAACTCTGTGTCGTCCTTGTACCAGGCGACGCTGTAGAGGTCGTCGCCTTCGACGTCATACCGACAGCGCAGGGTGGCCGTCTGCCCGCGCTGACGCAACGCCGGCACCTCCAGCGAGGACAGGCGCAGCGACCAGCAGCCTGCGCCACAGAGAAGGGTCATAGTCAGCAGAGTCGTAGGTACAGACATCACGCCAGGTATTCGTCTAACGTGGTAACTAGGGGGGACGGCGAACCCCGCAGTCATCGATCGGGCCCCGCAGCGAAGGTGAAAACGTTAATCGAGGGGTGGGGGCATCCTCACCGAAGAGGTATAAATATCGCCATTAACACATTGCTAATTAAAATAAAACGAACTTGAGACTCGTCCCCTTGGAGAAATTTGTTGGACGAGCCTCTGCGTCGCGCCGCGAGACGGCAAAAAGCCCTACAAGTTCTCTACATACCGTGGCCGTCCTACATATACATAGGCAGTAGTTAACCCGCGCCCTGCTGGGGGGGGGGTGTTTGAACACCCCCCCCCCTAAGGTTTTTCGCGAATATCTCAAAAACGGCGGCGCGGAGCGCCGCCGTTTTTGGTATACCTTATCATACATCAATTCTACACATGTTGTAAAAATTTCAGACCAAGGTCATTCAAGGTCAGGTCACCAGGTCACTTGAAGTGACCTCACCTCATAAAAAGTTTCAATGTCTGTCATAGCTACACCGAGTGACCGATTGCTTTGAAACTTTCAGCGATTGCTAAGAGCAATAGCATGTACAAAATGTATATCTCAGAATTTTGATATCGATGACCTAAGGTCAGGTCAATTTTGCGACCTCCCCATTACCTATAAGTCAATGGGAGAAAATTCAAATGCGCCTCTTTTGGACGAAAGACATTATAAACACTCCCAAACACTGAATTACAAGTGGTTTAGACACACTGAACATGAAAATGGTGTCCGTGACCCCTGTTTATGCCCTGAGGTCATCTTAGGTCACGAATAGTATCTAACAGTTTTTCGCAAATAACTTTTGATAGAGGCATGCTAGAGCGATAAAAACGCCTTAGATGTGTTCAGCTCGACGATACGGATCGACTGATATGCAACATGACCCTTTCCGGTCAGGTCATGACCTTGACCTGAGGTCAAATTTTCAAGTTGACCTTTCAAGGTCAAGTTATAGTTCATTCGATGCGTCTTGACGAGAGGAACACGATGCCGGTAAAAGTAAGCTCGTACAAGGCTTGAGTCAAAAGTTATTGCAGAAAAACTGTTTCCGAAAAAATCGGCTATTTTTGCAGTTTTTGCCCCCTGCAGGCAAAACCGTTGACGTTAGGTCAAATCTGAGAAAATTACTCAGAAAGGGCGTTAATAGGGCTATCGAATGCGCTTTTCCGCGCCGCTGTAGCTCTATTGGTTCCCGAGTTATACGTTGGCTTCTTGGAAATTGTCGACATTCGACCTTGAAATCGGCGAAATTTTGCTTTCAATGACCTCTGGTGACCTGACCTTTGACCTGACCAAAAAATTGACCGAAGTGATTTCGTCATTATTTTTGACGCGCTTTCGAACGCCGCCTTCCGCGTGTCGCTACGTGGCCCAGGAGCCGAGTTAGAAGGGGGGGGGGTGTTCAAACACCCCCCCCCCAGCAGGGCGTGGAAATCCAGGACCCCCAGCCGGGCGCGGGTTAAGAGACATTTGCGCTCTTCCCCCATTGCTTTACATGTAACGGTGAGGATCGAGGTCACGTAAATACGAATCGAGAAAAGCGCTAAACTTGGCTCGTTGACACCCAGTTCATGTTTCCATTGGTAAAGGCAGGGCTGAGGGCCTTATAACCATATAACCGGTAAAGGTACCCAAAACAAAATCAATAGCTTGGTCGGTTAATCCAGAGTTTGCTTGTGCAACGCTGGCAGGTCACATAATCTATTGACAGTTTAATAGCCAAATGTGCTTAATGCTTATGAATGGCCCTTCTTCGGATACAGGCAACGAATGTGGCCGTTTGTCTTTAATTAATAACAACCTTCGCTTGCGTGTTCAACATTATGTGAACATTTCAGGAAAACTAGGTATATTTCGCCTCGCCTGCCCCCTATCATATACGTCTCCTATTTGGGTCGTTCGCTAGGACACCTTTCCTACATTCAGCTAAGGGAAGCCGAAGACCTCGTCACCTCATTAAGTTGCCGGCTGATGACATAAATATATCTAAAGCTGTGATGTCATGCCGGGCGATACCTATGTGTATGGCTGACCCTCGGCAAGAGCCAGTGAGCCAGTCACGTGCTACCAAGCATTCATGCGCTCTAATATCATGGTCCCCTAATATCTCCAATATGTGTGTGTGCGTGTGTGTCGCCTCATACACAGCACCTATGCCGAGCCGCTACCATACTTACAATTGTGGCGCAATGTGCAATGTGCAATGTGCATGCCTGCCTGTTTTGGTTTGCGTTTTGTAGTTTGTGTCGAGGTCCTGCGTACTTGCAATTAGGCGATTCATAAACAAACCATTGGATGACCTCGGGAGGTCCACAGCGATGGATATTGGACAGTCTGGAAACGTCATGTGGGGGGGGGGGGCGGGAGCAGCGAGCAAGACATTGTCCTATGCTGCAGCACACGACGAGCAGAGATAAATCAGACGACATGTAGTGTGCGCTGGTCACTTTCATTGGAATAAATCGGGCAATGACAAGTGTTAGCCTGTATTTAGGGTCTTGTGTTAGCTTGTGTTAGCCTTAGAAAATGACTACTCCGGTTAATAAATAAAGATAATATAAGGACAATAAAGCCACCGCTTAATAAATCCAAAACGTCGCGTTACCAAGGTGGATTTATGAAGTGGATTCTGCTGTATATTCCACACGTCGCATGGACCCGTACCTTTCATGTTTACAGCTCAACCAACAAGTGTGCACTCAGTGGCGTATCCAGGGGGGAGGCCAAGAGGCCGCACTGTAAAAAAAGTTTAGCACCATAGAGGTACTTTTCAATTGACTAATTTTCAGTACCCTAGCGGTGCTAAGCTAAGCATTTTATTCGTACTTAACTGAGATCTAGTTTAGTATCAAGGTGCTAGTATAAGTACCAGGGATGCGGAGCCGGAGCCGGAGTCGGAGCCGGAGCCGCCGGAGCCGGCATATTTTGCCCGGAGCCGGAGCCGGAGCCGGAGCCGTGAAACAATATAGCCCGGAGCCGGAGCCGGAGCCGGAGCCGCCAAAAAAGGGGGCGACTCCGGCTCCTTTTTATTTTTTGAAGAGGAAAAAAATAATTGACCTAGTTCGGTTTGACAGTACAAGGCAGTAAAATATATGGTACTTACGTCATGGGCCATCAAGTGAATGAAAAAATCCGAATATCCCCAGTATTCCACAGTACGCAAACAACTTCCTGTTTGCTCTTCCCCCCCCCCCCCCCCCACGTCTACTGCATCCCCAGAACATGAGGACCAGTCATCAGGTGACGGCCATTGTTTTCAAACCAGTGCAGTGGACTGCGACTCCCAGCACCGTCTCATCCCACACACCCCCCACCCCTCACCCCCCAATGCAGCCGAGACGGGTGTCAGCTTACGATGGTTCACTGAACTCCGATTCGCGGCGACTGCGTTTCCAATGCCATCGCTTCCTAGCCCTTTGTTCTGCCGGTTCTCTCCGAGGTGCGTTTGCGCGGGGACGCGGTGAGCCGGTCATGGCAAAGAGTAACGCGTATAACCAATCCAATTTTTCTTCCACCCGTATTTAATTGATTGCATAGGGGATGTACTGAGTCGGAGCCGGAGCCGCCGGAGCCGGAGCCGCCGGAGCCGGACCATTTTACTCGGAGCCGGAGCCGGAGCCGGAGCCGCCATAACATTTCACCCGGAGCCGGAGCCGGAGCTGGAGCCGATTTTTTTCTCCGGAGCCGGAGCCGGAGCCGGAGCCGTCTGAAATTTCCACGGCTCCGCATCCCTGATAAGTACCCATATTTGTTTAGCACCCGTGTACTAAATGTAGTACCCTACACCTGCTAGACCAATTTTCAGTACCCCAGCGGTGCTAAACTTTAAAAGGTGCTAAGAATAGCATGCAGTTAGTACCTTCCGTACTCACATATGAACCGTTTTAGCGCTATTGTTACCCCACGACAAGTAGAATAATGCTAACGAAAGCATTGGGGCTGAAAGTAGAATATCTATACTAGTTAAAGCTGCTGCATGAAAAGTTCGCAAAAACTGCTTTCTTTAGCAGCACATACTTTCACTAGTTACTGCAAAAAGGACTAATCAATTATACCAAAAAGGAAATTGTGTAAGGCCGAAAAGACGTGCAAAAAAGGTTATATCCTAGATAAGTGATAACTACAAGTCTCAATGATTGTGTTTTGCATTCTGCAATATTCCCGTGTAAGTGCATCTTTCAAGCATCCAACACATTATAAAATTAAAAAATAATAATGGAACATTTATTAACACTTCATATCATCTGCATGAAAAACAAATGTAAATATATAGGGGAGAGTGGGGCAAAGCGGCCACCCGGGGCAAAGCGGCCACCCATCGTTTTAGCCCTTCATAGCTGGCGTCAGTTCCAATTTATGGTTTCCAATTATACTTCTCTTCACGGTCGTTCGAATGAGCCAGACCGGGGTTTCAGGCCCATCACCATTGTTCTGTGAAACACGGAAAAGCATTTCTTGCCAGGTTACCAACTATGTTTACAATTTTTAAATGTTATGTTATTCCATAACCGTTTGGAATTTTTATAAGCGTTCTTGTCCATGCATTGCATGGTTATCGTACATGTATTCTACCAATTTTGATGTTTTTTACCCCACTAATATCTAAGCTGGAATATTTTTGTCTCGGACGGTATGCGCGGGGCAAAGTGGCCGGGGCAAAGTGGCCACCCCCCAATTGGCCATAAGCTGCTTCCATCTGGATAAAAAACATTATTTACATTCAAATGTGTCGTCATGCATTCATCTTGGCCACTTTTCAGTTGCATGAGTTACCAAATAATGCAATTAAATGTTTTTTCATGAAAATCCTTTCTTTGTTTACCTACAGATGGAAGATGATAAAGTAAACATCCATCCTCGCTTAACCTTGTCACCATCAAATACCCTAGTCGTACACGAGACAACTATTTTGTTTCTCATGTC